CTTGCTCAGACGTGGCTTCCGTGTGGCACAGGGGAGGGGGGTTCTGCAGGCAGGGGCTGGGCAGACGTGGCTGGCGTGTGGCACAGGGGAGGGAGGTTCTGCAGGCAGGGGCTGGGCAGACGTGGCTGGCGTGTGGCACAGGGGAGGGGGGTTCTGCAGGCAGGGGCTGGGCAGACGTGGCTGGCGTGTGGCACAGGGGAGGGGGGTTCTGCTGGCAGGGCTGGGCAGACGTGGCTGGCGTGTGGTACAGGGGAGGGAGGTTCTGCAGGCAGGGGCTGGGCAGACGTGGCTGGCATGTGGGCACAGGGCAGGGGGGTTCTGCTGGCAGGGGCTGGGCAGACGTGGCTGGCATGTGGCACAGGGGAGGGGGGTTCTGCTGGCAGGGGCTGGGCAGACGTGGCTGGCGTGTGGCACAGGGGAGGTGGGGTTTTGCTGGCAGGGGCTGGGCAGAGGTGGCTGGCGTGTGGCACAGGGCAGGGGGGTTCTGCTGGCAGGGGCTGGGCACACTCTGCTGAAGGCCTGTCCCCATCCCTACGCGACGCCACCAACCTGTGACTCCGGCGTTATTGACCAGGATGTCCAGTCGCTTCTCCTCCTGCCGGATCTGCTTGGCAAAGCGCCGGACGGAGGCCATGTTGCTGATGTCCACAATCCTCAGAAGCACATTTGGGTTCCCGGTGGCCCTCTGGATTTCCTCCACTGCTGCCTGCCCCCGCTCTCTGCTGCGGCAGGCGAGGATGGTGCGGGCGTTCCTGCAGGCCAGGTCCAAGGCCACGTATTTCCCGATCCCTGTGGACACAGGCCCGCGTCACATGGTGACGCTCTAACTTCCCCTTCTCCCTCCAGAACTCAGCCCCTTTGTCTGCCCCAGTGCCCGACATCGCTCTGCCGCGCCCCTGCCAACATCCGCCCCTCCCCGGTCACTCGAGAGCGAGCAGGTGGGGGACACGCCGCGGGGGTATCGCAGAAGAACTGGGTTTGCAGGAGGGTTGAGAGGAGGGGCCGGGGCAGGGGGCAGGAAGGAGAGGGAGCCCGGGAGAAGCAGACAGGTAGGAGCAGAGGCTTCCAGCAGCGGCCAGGCTGGAGCAATGGCAGCTGGAGTCCTGCAGACCCCAAGGTGACCACGGGAGGTGGTGGGGAAGGGGCAGCCTGGGGGAGATTCGTAGGAGGGCAGGACGTACTTAGGGAGGCAAGTGGGGCAGAGCAGCCTCGGGGGCTCTCTGGGGTGGGCAGTTGGAGAGGAGGAGGCAGGACGGGAGATAGGGAAGGGTCTGGGAGAGGGTATTAGCCGCAGCGAGGGAAGGAAAAAGCCAAGGCCTCAGAACACAAGATACGGGCGAAAGTTGGGCCCTGGATGCCCTGCCCGTAGGAACAGCCTCCCCCAGGCCCAGCGGCAGGGCTGGCTGCTAAGAGGGGCCAAGCAGTGGCACTGATCGACTCGCACTGCGTGGAGCAGTCTGCGCATAGGTGCCCACTCCATGGATGCTCCGGGGCTGGAGCACCCATGGGGAAAAATTAGTGGGTGCTCTGCACCCACCGGCAGCCAAGTTCCCTGCCCCACCTCCCCTCCCCTCCTCCGCCTCCTCCCCTGAGCGCGCCGCATCCCCATTCCTCCGCCTACCTCCCAGCGCTTCCCGCCCGGCCGCCGCCAAACAGCTGTTTGGCAGCGTTAGCACGCCCCGGGAGGGAAGGGGAGGAGGCGGGGCCGGGGCGGGGATTTGGGAAAGGGGTTGGACTGGGAGTTGGGAGGGGGCGGGGCTTCATGGAAGGGGTGGACTGGGGGCGGGGCCAGGGGTGGAGTGGGGGTCGAGCACCCAGAGGAAAGCAGGGAAGTTGGCACCTATGGGAGGACGCCTCTGACCCAAGGAGCAGAGGGGTCTCAGTGCTGGCTCTGGGGACCTGGGCCCCCTGCCTGTCCTGCCTGCGAGGGGCAGCACTCAGCTCCATGGGGCCTGGGCTCAGTGTGGGGAGGGGGAGAGTGGCCAGACGGGGCCCCGGAGGGGCTGAGGGCTGGGGAGAGGACGGCCAGACGGGACCCCGGGGTGGGGGGAGAGGATGGCCAGACAGGGCTCCAGGGGAAGAGGATTGCTAGATGGGGCCCTGGGGGGGCTGAAGGGGGGAGAGGATGGCCAGAGAGGGCTCCGGGGGGAGGAGGAAGGGGAAGAGGACAGCCAGACGGGGCCCTGGGGGGCGGGGAAGAGGACAGCCAGATGGGGTCCCGGGGGACAAGGGCAGGGAGAGGACGGCCGGACGGGGTCTCGGGGAGGGCGGGGGTTTCACTATGTGGGTATTCACTGCGTCACCTGAACTTTACTTGCCTTCTCTCCCTCAACCGTTCCGCCCCGCCCCACTCACTGCCTGCCCCCCCCCGCCCCCGCGCCTCTCCCTGCCCCGGCTCCTCACTCAACGCCTCCGGCGCACCCCAGCCTGCAGCTGCCCAAACCTCCCTCCTCAAACCCCCCTGCTGGGCCCGGCATGAGGCAATCGCTGGAGGGCAGCCAGCCCCCTCGCCCCCCATTCTGCTGCCAGTGAGCTCGCCCCACGCCCGTCCCCGCTGTCCCGGGCCGTGCTCAGCGCCTGCTGGACGGGGTGTCGAACGGTGGCGGGGGGGACATGCTGTGTCAGCGGCATGATGGCCGGGGCGTCCCCTCCTCTCGGCACTCACAGGCTCAGGCGGGTCGGGGGAGGGCAGAGTAGGTTGGTGGCTGCTCCACGGAGGGTCTCTCAGATTTGGCAATCAGACGGGGTGGGGGGGTCCCCTTCCCACCCGCTGCCCATGGGGCTCCAAGCTTCCCGGAGGGCCAAAGGGGGCAGAGGTCCAGAGACAGGGGTGGGGGGCGATGTGCCCCTGGTGTTATCTGGACCGGTGATCTGCGAGGTCCCTCCAATCCTCGACTCTGGGAGGCAGCCTGACCCTGCTCACTGTGAGAGCCCCCACTCCTGGGCTGTTCACGCACAGCCTCTCGCATGTAAACTGCTCCTTGGATTCTGCAAGCGAATGACACTAGCCATTATCTCCGGTCCCAGACGCAACCCTTCCAGTGTCCAGTTATGCCCGCTGGACGCTGCAAGCTTATATGAGTTCATCAATTTAACAAAGAAATTGATGTGTTCCAGGCTTGTTATCCCCAGGAGAGTCTCTGACACACTGCAAACCAAGCACACTGCGTGAGGTAGAACAAACAAACACATTTATTAAAGTATCAGGGGGGTAGCCGTGTTAATCTGAATCTGTAAAAAGCAACAGAGGGTCCTGTGGCACCTTTGAGACTAACAGAAGTATTGGGAGCATAAGCTTTCGTGGGTAAGAACCTCACTTCTTTACTTTCATTTGGAGAAGGGAGGGTCTTAACCACGGAAGCTTATTCTCCCAATACCTCTGTTAGTCT